TTTAGAAAAATTTGTATTAATAGTTAAGTGAATTTTAAAAGAGAATTAAAATTTTTATAACAAAATTTTAAAATTAAATCCTATTCGTGTGTGTGTATGTATGTAAAACTAAATGTAGAAACTATTATTATTATTATTATTATTATTGTATTAATATTTATATTATATTAACAAAAAATATACAGTATTGTGAATAATTATTAATTACTAACTTATATTTTTAATTATTCGATATTTAAACGATGAACAAAAATATATGACAATTTTTTTGATATATTTCGAAATTTATTAAATTATTTAAACATCATTTAATATTAATAAAAAGAGGCTGTTTTTATCTCTATAGAAAATTTAATAATTTTGTACAAAAGAATAAAAAGCTCGTTAAGTGAGAGAAAGAGAGAAAACATAAGCCCGCATCGCATCGTGAACATTCCAACGACATTATATCTCAAGTTTCCCCGTACTTTCTTTTAATTCGAGCAGTTTAGCAACGTCGAGTGATCTAATTAAGTTCGTCAAAAAGAAGACAACCTTTACGAAACGTTTGCTTTAAAATTTGCAAGCGAATATTGTTGTATTTAATCGTCGAAATGAAGGAAAAGTGATGAAAAAACTGTCATTGCGAACGAATGAAAGAGAAATGAAGCAAAATTATTCGAGAACAAAAATTCAAAGAGAACATTTATTCACAAAGTAAACTTTTTCCCTGTCGATACGAAAAAATATATCTAAACATTTAATATAATATTCATTCTATATATATATATAACAAAAAAATGATGAAATCACGTTTCTGACTTTTGTTAAAATTATCATATAATTAAATTTACTATTAAACGATAATATTAAAATTCTCTGCTTGTGTGTGTGTGTGTGTTATCTAACAATAAGGTTCTATAATGTTCGCATATCTTTTGAAACCTTCTTCCCTTCTCTTTACTCAACCCCTTCCTTTCTTTGAAACCATTTCCTTCTTGGTTTTCCTTTCCTTCCTTTCTAACATTTTCCATCTAATCCCAAGCTTCTCTTCCTCGTATAACATAACTCTCTTATATAGTACCAACCTATAGTAGAATTATTTTATTAAAGCCAGAGATGATCGTAGAATCATTCATACAATTCTCATCAAATCTTTTTGTTCATTTTATCTTAAAAAACTTATCTAATCCTAAGAAAAAATGATTGAATATTTTCTGCAAAAAGAACCCAAAAGAAAAAGAAAAAAACTAGTTAATGACTCGTTAAAAATAAGAAAAGTAGATAAATGGGATTGATTGAGTGCGTACGAGCGAGATAAAAAAAAAACAAAAAGAAAGAGAAATATAGATTTAGATCCGTCATCTTTAGACCAAAATTAATCCTTTAGTCCTATTTATCGTAGAACAATTACAATATCTCAGATGAAGATGGTAATACATATAGTAAGAGTAGTAGTGGTTGCAATGGTAGTTGCAGCAGCAGTAGTAGCAGTCGCATTGGCGTAGGGTCTTCGGTGATCCAATTACCGTCAGAATGGCTTTCCAGTTGTTGGAGTGCCTGCTCATCTGCTTCTCTAACTCCTCTCTCTCTCTCACACACACACACACATAAATACACGTATACGCATACACGCGTTTATACACACACATGCACACAGAGAGATACATAAACATACATATATTCACACAGAGATAGGAGAAACGTATATAGATGTGGGTATATGAATTATATATAGTATATATATATATATATATATATATATATATATATATATATGATTACATACTTACACTTCTACTATTGTAGAGATAGTATAGTACACGTCTAGTGCAACGGACGACACGAAATCCATTGCGGTCGAGTGATCATTTGAAATGCATTTCGATGGTACGCGTTAGACAGTTGAGAGATAATCGACGTCGATCGTATATCGTTTCCATCTACGATGATCCCTTCGAAATCAACGCCAAGAGCTCTCTCTATTCTATTTTAACGTGATTTCTCTGTTTCACTCCTTACAAATAGATAGATGGATAGATAGATAGATAGATAAATAGATAAGTGGATAAATGGATGGATCAATGGGTAGATAGATAAAATTAATCTATCTTTTTTCAATACTTATCTATATTTGTATCAATTGGAAAAGTTGACAAATATCAATACGTTTAGATTATTTTTTTCAATAAATCGATATATTTGCATTTCATATTAGTTTCATCGTTTTTGTTTCAATGGATCTATCATTTTTTCTTATGATTTATAAATATGAAACATAAATCTTATAGACAAACGAGGATCAATAAAAACTAATAATAATAATAGATCATATGAGACGTTTATTTTGAAAGTGGCATAAGTCACCTTTTTTTTCTTTTTTTTTGTTCTAAATTGAAAAGATACCGTTTAATTATAATTAGTGTTGCCATTAATTCGATTTGTTTAAAAAAGTGACTTATGTCACTTTCAAAATAAACGGCTCAATTATTATAGAAACCATGATTAGTCGAATAAAAATTTGTTCTTATGACGGGATCAAACGAATGGTAAGATGAATGAGCCATAGTAATAGATATCGATATCGAAACGAAAAATTTTATTAAAATCCCTTAGGATCGATAAAGGTACATAGATAGATAGATAGATAGATAGATAGATAGATAACGAGAAAGAACAAAATTCAGGCGGTGAGAAAAAGATGGATAAAATAGAAAAATGTTCGCGTAGAGAGATAAAAAATTGAATTTCGTTTGAAAATTTGCCGATCGTTCTTTCGTTTTGGCTCGCGAACTAGCTCGTTGACCATTGTGTTGAAAATGGACTAGGAGGGGAAGGGAAGTGGTGGTGGTGATGCTGGTGGTGGTGGGCGGTGGGGGAAAGGGGGGTGTTGAAGGGCTCGAAAAGGGAGAAAACGCAAAAGGGATTATTAACGGTGGATAGTCGGTGGCAAAACGAGAACAATCCGGCATAGTTTCGTCACGCTTGGCTTTTCGGAATGGCCTCTCTGCAAAACGTCTATGTATATATATATATATATATATATATATATATATATGTATATGCGTCCTAGCCCATAATGAATCCTTAAATTATACTCGTACGCGTCGCTGACCACAGAACAATCTAATTCCAACGTCGAAACAAAGACCCTTCTAATTAGTCCAACGTTAATTTACTCTGCTGTGTCTTTCAGGTGTCGCAGTTACGGTTCTGCCTGGCCACTGCGAGAAAAAGGTAAGCGTTTTCTATTTCTATCTTTTGTTTCATTATTTCTCTTCCTTTTTTTATTCCTCATATTATATCTTCCTTTCTTTCTTTCGTTCTGGCTTTCTCCCTTTTTTCTTATTTTTCTTTTCATTTATTTTTATCTTTTTCCATTTCATCCAGTCTTATCTTTTCTTCTCTTATTTCATCCTAAAATTCATTTGCTTCCGTCTATTTCATTTTATATATCTTTTTTAATATTGCATGCACTCATTCTCTATCTCTGTCTCTCTAATTTTCGTCTATCTACGTATGTAGATGTATTACATATATATATTATAACAATTTTCTTGATTTCTCTCGTAAATTTTGATCTTGGCGATTACGTTACGTCGATTTCTTCGACCTCCTTTATTCATCTTCTTCTATCAGAGACTAACATTTTTAAAAACTTACCTTCCACTCCATCTACTTCGTTCCAGGCAAACTTTGCTTTAACTTTTTTTTTCTTTCGGTCGGTGTAATTTTTCAAAGATTTAAATTTCCCGCATGTGCATTTTTCCAGGTAGTTCATTCGTATGTATAAAATAATAAAAAATTTCATGATACTCCTTTCTTTCTTACTTTCTACCTTCCTTTTTGTTTTCTTTTAAAATAATTTAATATATAAAATACTTTTAATCTTTTATATATCTTTTGAATTCCCTTGAAACAAAAAATGATAGTTGTTACCGTTAGTCGCGCATTATTACAAAATTTTCCAGATATCATAGAGTTTGTAACATGCTTTGAATATTCTTCTTTATCGTTTCTTTTTTATTTTTTTTTTTTTTTTTTTTTTTTTATAAAAAGATACCCGAAAAAATTAATAATAGTTTTTTATAGAACTCGATTTGACGAACCCCCTGCTACGGTATGTTTAATTCATTGAAAAGTTTTATTAGTTTAGGATCATATTGATCGATCGAATCAATTTAAGTTTAACTTTAATATTGATCTTCTCTGAACGTGCTTGAAAATTGTTATGAAAAGGGTTCGTTTCAATTTATTAAATTCGTCGTCCCTTCATTATATTTATATACAGGTAGGACGAATAAAATTGACAAATTCATCCATTAAACTTTTGTCTCTTATTTGTATAATATTATTAATCCCGTATAAATTAATTCCAATAATACTCTAAATGATACGACTCCTACATGGGTTGTCAATAACGAAAAATAGAAATCCCTTAGAAAATGATATCCCATACTGTACATTGATGTAAATTATACTACTTACTTGCTTGCAATCGATTCGATTTGTTTGCAGATAGGTTTACAAAGAGCCGTTTAAATTAACAAATAAACGCATCTATCTCTTTCTATTTAATTTATCACTTTTCCCCAGTGATTACATCTAGGTAATAGATAATAACATTCAAAGACTATTTCATTTATTCAATCACATGAAATATCATTACTAATATCAGCCAAGCTAATTGCTAAGCTTTCTATTGTAATGCGATAGGATTAAATTATCTCATTTGCATTAGAGCGAATATCAATTCAGTAGCTAGTTATATTCCTATGTAGTAGAATCCTATACAATTGTAGTGTAGATATTTATTGATAACGAAAATAATCATAACCGATGAGTGGAGAACAATTATGTTTCATATATCAACGATTTCATCAGTATCGTTTATTAAATAATTAATTAGGTCTTCGCGTTTAAATCGATTTATCTTCAAATTATAAAATAAAATCTTTTGTTTGAATATTGTTTTCGATTAATAATCGTTTGGCGTTTGTAAATTAAATGAGGTTAACTCGCGATGAAATAATATAAATTATTGTAACAATATTGTCAACATTTATTAGAAGAGTCACAAATTTAAAAAAAAAAAATACATTTTTTTATCTTCTTTCGGACGGCTATTATATTTTCTAGGAACAAGTAATAAAGATCATTAAATTCTTCGTCATCTTGTTATAATAACGTCGTACAAACTCGAAAAGTTACTTTAGCATTGTCGTTGATGGCGATTGGCGAACTTTTGATCGAGACTAATTTAACGCTCGACTTGCGAACGATAATCTCTGTAACTAACTTTTGAAAAACTTTCAACGATTATAATCATAACTCGTGAGAACGTGAGCATGACGGAGAAACATACACCTAAATTATCAAATTATTTTCGATTAATTTTCATTTTGCAAAATGTTGAGAAAAATCAACAATAATCAATAGTTCAATGATATAAATAAAATTTATTTAATAGGTTACAATATTAATTTGTGATTATTATAATATCGATTAAACAAATTAGTATCATTATTTTTCTATCTTGCATAAAAAAAATTATTTAATATTATTTTAAATTACAAATTGTGAGCGTGTTTGTTGTATTATATTTGTAATATTTAAAAATTAATATATCTCGATATAAAAATATATATATTTTTTTATGTATACACACTTATTATAGCTAGGGTTATTTTTTGATAATAGTTTAAAATATAAACATCGTTGGAATGTAACAGAAAATGTTTGATTTATATATTATTTATTGGAATGGTCTAGTAAAATGAATGGTCGAAAGGTTCGTTTGAAAACGCTAGGTATAAGCCCTGTTCGTTCGCAGAATTTCAATTCGCTTTATTCATTGCAATTCCATTGAATTTAAAGGTACTAGCTACTACGAAATGTAATTATATCAATTGTACAATATGTACATACGTAAATATCTTTATCTGTAAGTTTCTCTCTCTTCATTTTCTCTATCTCTCTCTCTCTCTCTCTCTCTTGCAACGTAAGATATATTAGAAAAATAATGAAATTATTTGTACGTATAAAAACATCGATTAAAATACAATATTATATTTTTGAAAATAATGAAAATGTTTATGATTTATAAATCGAACTTTATTTTTGCATAAGAATTTCTTAAAATATATATTTATTATTTGTAATAAAATTTTGTGTTCTGTTTTCTTCCCATGCACGTTGATAAATACAATTAAAAAAACCCCAAAAAAATAATTATACTGAAACAAACATGAATTCTTCGTATGCTTGAAATTGGTTTACATATATTCATAAATTTAACGCAACACTTTATTTAATTTCTAAAATATATTAATTAATTAATTCAATCTATAAAACATAGAACAAAAATAAAAATAACAAATATATCTTTGATTATTAAAATATCTTCATTTAGTAGAAACCATTTGCACGAGTAATTTGAATTTGTAAATTAAGCTCATCATTGTTCTATTCTGTTTTATTCCATTCTGTTTTATTCCTGTTCTTATCTGAACAGATTTGAGCGTTGCATCATTACAATCTAGAAAACTTGTTTGAAACCTTCATTTCGTTGGCAGATAAATGATTATATTAATCTACTTTTGTACTACTTTTCTTCTCTCTCTCTCTCTCTTACTTTCTTTAACATAAAAATACAAATTTTAATTTTAATTTCCAGATTATCATCGTTGTCGTTCAAATGACATATAACACAATTAAAACAAAAAAAAAAAAAAACAAAAAAGAATAATTAACTGTCCCTATATTTGACAATCTAACAAACGTGTGATCATTTAAAACGAATCTAAATATACTAACCAACCGTCCGATACTACTAACTATTCGAACGGATCGAACGTTACGAATACTGAATTATTAAATTGAAACGGGAGAACGTATACGTTTGCTATTTAACGTCACGTGAAAAATCGTTGAAAAATATCAAACGTGTAGTGGCAATATTTGTTAAGTTGTACTTCTTTTTTTATTCCTTTTTTTTCAATTATTCATAGTTTAACAAATAAAATATGACAACTAATCATTTTTTTTGTCTTTTTTTTTTTTTTTTAAACGAACCCATCAATAAATCAGAATTTATTCATTCGAAGAGAATGACAGGTTGTCGTTGTCGTCGTCGTCGTCGTCGTCGTCGTCTTCGTGGAATGTTAATACGTCGTTTAGGTGACAGTGACAAGTGAGAACCCGTTTAACTCAATGAAAGCATGTCGTTAAAGAGATTGACTCGTATCCCTGAAATTAAATCACCGTTGCTGCTTACTTCTATCGAAAGGAGTACTATCGATCCAAGTTGAACAAGAATTTCAATATTATTATTATTATTATTATTATAATTATATGTATTATCCATTTTTTCTTTTAAATAGTTAGAAATTAATACTTTTTTTTTTTAAACTCTTTGAACAGTAAATTTTGTTACAAATACGTAACACTTGATTGGAACGGAATACTTTATTGCTAATGTGAATTAATTATACTAGACACACACATCAAATAATAAATTATTAAATGAAATAACACCAAAGGAAAGGTTTTGTTTTTTTTCAAACTTAATCTCGGTGTAACAAGACTCAAAACAATTATTAAATATGCAAACCAATATTGTATTCTTTCCATTCATATCTATAAACGCATATATGTATCAATACCACTTAAAGAATTAATATAAAAATATAAATTAAATATAAATAATATACTAAATACTTTTTCACATTTATACTTTTTATTTTGAAAAATAATCATATCTCAATATTAATATAAGAAAATAAAAATATAGAATATATATATATATATATATATAAATTTTTGTCACGTTTGATTATATCAAATATATATATTTATTAAAAATAGCTCTTTAAATTTGATCCAGAAAAATAAGGAAAAAAAAAGAGAGACAGAGAGAAAGAAAGAAAGTAAAGATAGTTATTCGAGAAATAGAATTGTCTGCTCGACAAATTCCATGAGTTTATCGAGACCAAAAACGAAGCAAGGATGACTGTATCGACTCTATCTTAAGCGGTTCCTGCGCGTACGTTTGTATTATCTCAGAAGCGAAGCGTTGGGCTTCCGGTCGAGTGCATCAGATTGGGAAGACAATGGGATATCCCATGATGCAACGGTATTATGGAACGGAGAGGAGGAGGAGGTCGAACCCTCTCTTTCTCTTTTTATCAATCCATCTATCTTATTATCTCTCTCTCTCTCTCTCTCTCTCTCTGTCT